AAATTATGCTCAGGTATCAAATCTTGCTCTTCAATTTTCTGTCTTTAAGTTTTAAAAACATTTTCTAGGTACATTATACAGAATGGAATCCCTACAAGTTATCTGTGAATAAAAAATGGCAATATCCCTTAATTTTTTTTTTTGAGAATTAGAGATTTCTATAGATTTTTGTTAAAATACCAAAAAATCAAAGTTCCAGTAGAGGAGATTGAGTTCTTTTTGAGTAAAAGACTAGTTGTCAGGCTATAAAATATAGGTGTATTTTGTTATAAAGATCAATAATTTTATTTTGCTAAATCATTGTGCTTTCTTTTGAACAGTGCAAGGCTAAAAGGCAGCAAATAAGCTTTGGGCTTTAGTCTTTGCATGTAATGATAATTCCATTAAATTTTTCATCAAATTATGATGAATGTGTGGTTAGAATATGTTTTCAGCATACAAAGAGAGAATTTGTACTTGAAAGTAAACTTCCTAGGAGTCACTAGAGAATATAAGGGTGTAAGGTGAACAAAAAGATAGATCTGATTAAAAAATGCTATGAAAGGTTTTGAGCATAGGACAAAAAAGTGTACTCAATTCCAGTGAAAGATAACATTGAGGTTATACATACTTATATATATACATATATATATATGCACACTCATTTATAACTCATTTATATAAAAGAGAGAAATATGGCTGAGGGAGTATATGGATTGTCACTGAAACTGGGATTTACTGCTAGAACTGATAATAGAATCAAGTTCCTATGAGCTCACCATCAGCAGCATTACAATGCTTAGTTGATCCCATTTGTTGTTAATTCTGAGCTCTCAGGAGTTCTGATCATTTTAAAACCACAAATCTCAAAGATGAAATTTAGCACTTGATGAATCATTTGAGGATTTCATCATTTGGGATAAGGGAAACACCTGCTATAGCTTTTAATTACTTTCAGATACTTTTGTTTTCTTTTCAGATGCATTTCTGTGTGAGGTGATTATGCAGAATGCTGTAGAAATGTTGTTTTGCTTTGAATGTGATTGTTTTTAGGCAAAGAGTAGAGTATGCAAATTGTAGTGTTACTAATTGTGCTGTTCAATGGAGAGAATGCAGAAATGTTTCTTCAAGGAAAAGATCACTGCTTCCTATGAGTTACTTTTACTCCCCTCAGTACAGATGAAAGTATAGAAACCTGTCAAAACTGAGGTAAAATGGAAATAACCTAGATCTGTTACTTTCTGATGCATTTCTTTTTCATTTGCCATTATTCTTTCTTTCTGCAACCTGTTTTCCTACCATATTTCTTATATATCTTTTTTTTCCCCCCTTCTTCTTAAAGTTATCTCTTACATTCTCCTTTACCCAATCCTCTTATTCTTGCTCTTTGAGTTTGCATGACACAGTTGGGCTGGGTTTTCATAGGTATTAAGCAAATCTTCACCAGAAAAGAGGAATTGATGAAGTTCAGGTTTTGTCTTTTTTTCTTAAATGTCCAAGTAGTAAAGTAGGAACAAATTTTTTAAGCATCTTGTCTTCTCTGAAATCTGCTGTGGATTTCAGTCAGCTTGTGCAGAACCAGTTCATGATATGAATTTTTTAGGGCCCCTGGATTTGATCTGCTTTGCAGTGCCAAACATCATTCCACTGCACTGCTGGTGGAGAGTTTCCAGCACCCAGCCAGCCCTGCTCTGCTCACTGATGGTCCAGATTCCTGAAAATTCAAGTGTAAAATGCTTTCCAGATTTTCTTTTTTGTGCAGAGGGCTGGCAGCCATAACCAAAGCTGTCAACATCTCACTTTTGTAATCCTTCTAGTTTTTGAAAAAAAATTTGGTTTGGAATTTGGGGGTTTTTCTATAAAATAAAAATTTCAAGGTTTAGTCAGCTTGGCTCACCTTGGAGTCCCAAAAAGACCCCAGTTATGTTTCCTGAAGACATATTCTGCCTGCCTGTGGATGTTTCCATATTTTATAATGGTATTGCTATATCCGATTTCTGCTCTTTATAGAGCTATAGTCCCAGGGAAAAGACTCTGTACTGTTTTCATTATTGCAGTGTCAAAATAAAGCTAGAAGCATAGATTTTTTTCCCCAGAAATTCAGAGACATAAAATATTTCTTACTTTGATAAAAAGGCAAAAAACAACTATGAAGAGTACAACAGTGAGTATAAAATCAAAGTTGTGTAAAAAGTACTAGTAATTAAAGAAAGCTATGAAAAAAATTTAATAGTTCCTCGTTTAGGAAAAAAAATGTCATTCTCCTGTTCCATGCATCGCCCTATTTTTATATCATCCCTATTTTTACATCATCCTAGAAAGAGCATACACTGAAGCAATTTTAGAACTCATCTCTGAATAGATCATTCATTTGGATGGAGAATTCTTCACATGAATTAAGTGAAGAATTAATTTTCCCCTTAACTAAGTTAGATTCTCTGGTATATAGGTGATGATGGTTTTCAGTGAAATATGGGAATTTTTCTCTGCTTTGCAGAGAGCTGAGAGATTGTAAATATCCTTTTGTTTATCTGGTTGAGGACCTAACCACCATCCTTCCATCATTTTACTCTTTGGTTAAAGTATGAAAGTGTCCATTTTTGTTCACTTAACATTTCAGGCATTTCTGTGCCTCCATATTTCAGAGATAAATTCTTTAATGCTGAGAATTTCTTTTTAATCCTTTATTGTAAAAAGCAATTTCTGAAAAGGAGATTTTGTAATGCTCTTTCTTTGTCCATAGAATTGAGTACTGTAAAATAATTGCAAATTGTCCTATTACAGGAAGCTAAAAGCATTTTGGCCAGTTCTACTTACACACCACTGTTAAGCTTTGTGCTATTTCATTACAATGCTTATGTGAATTTATAATTTAGCTCTACTATTTTTAATTATTGATTAGAATGTAGTTGTTCTTTAAGTGCTGGATAAAAAATAAGTCTGAATATTAACTTCCCATAGCTTTGCTTCCAAGTTGGCCAAACCCTTACCTTCACTTTTCTCCACTTTTCTCTTTAGTTGTGCAAAGATATTATACTGAATGTCTCTCCAGTGTCCCCATTACAGTGGGGTGGCTGAAGCATATTGGCAAAGCCAAAGTTAAATTTAAAAATCACACAATTTTTGCTGCAAACTCTGATGAACTATTGATTATTTATTTAATTTATTAATTTTAAACTGTATTAGTTGGACTGTTAAAATATGTTATCTGTCCTATAAACCTGCCCTGTTAAATTTTGAAAATTATTTGGAGCTAAACAGAGTTTCTTCTTAAGGAGTGACAAAACTCTTGGTGAATATGTTTGAAAGCTCCATTTAATATACGTTCAAAAACACTGTTTTGAAAGGATTTGGGGACTTATTTTCTTATCTTTTTTTGTTCTTATTCTGTTGCTGTCCTGTGGAGCACTACCTTTGAGAAAAGTGGTTAATAACATTCCCAGTCTTTTTGTTGAAATGTGAGCTGAAATTTGAAGCAGCTTACAGAAGTTAGTATCCAATACAAGAAGAGAAATGGCTTATAGAACAAAGAATTTTGGAGTTGGGCTCATGAGACAGTATTTTACAGATAAGTGAGCCATTTTGATACTTTTCCCGGTTTGGGTTAAAGAAAAAGGATGATATCTGGCAATAATATTTAAGTGACTTAATGAAATTAATAATCTGAAAAACTTGTCTACTTTATACAGGTATTTGCACTTTTTTTGAAAAAAAAATAGTTTTGCAAGGAGGTTTCTTATTGTAAAACTCTCTATTTTATTTTTCTTTTTAGCCAGAGTTTCATTCCCTGTTAAAAAAAAAAAAATCTCTTATTAGAGTTGTGGGTCTAAATTATACTTTTAAATCCTATTGGCCAGAAAAGGAGATTTTACAGCAATTGTGCATAATTTTCAAGGTCCTGTAAATTGATTTTTCAGTCTTGCAATAATGGATTTTGGCCTGGTATTTGCATTATCCACAAAGCGTGTATTACTGTTTCCCATTTATTTAAATGAAGGCTGTGTTTAAAAGATACTCTTCTGCTGGAGACTGAATGGAATGTGTTTTATTAATCTGGGACTGCCTTATTCTCTGTTGACTATGTTTATGCATTCAGCAGAGGTTACTGATTCCTATAGCAATAGGAACACTTGAAATGTCAGGTACCTGCTGGGATCAGCTCTCTTTCTGACAAAAGACTGGTAAAGCACAAGTCAGGGTAAAAATTTCGGAGAGCTATAGAAAATACTTTTGATTGTGTGAATCTTTTTTTATCTATAACTTAATTAAATTGTGTAGAAAATATCATGTCTTCCTATATTCAGCTTCCTTTGACCATAACACTTCTAGGAAATGAAAAAAAAATACAAATAAGCCTCAACTAAAACAATCAGCAAACCTACATTTAGTAGGGTTTTGATAAGATTATACCAAGCATCATAAAATAAAAACATTTCCAAATTGAATTTATTCTTGAACTATGGAGCATTATCTTGCATGCTCAGTAAAACATACATATTTAAAGGAATAAAAATTTTTATTCCCTCCATGAGGTTCTGTGATTCCTAGAACAAGATTAAGCAAACAGGCAGCTGCTCAGCAGCATTTTTTGTCCTTGGTCACTGTATGCATTCCTTTGTCTTCTCTTCAGCTCAGAAGAGAGGACTGTTTATTTCCTTATACCACCCAAATATATAAGTACTTCAAAGACACTAATTAATGTCTCACTAACTTATTTATTAAGTGAGGAGTGCCATTGTCATTGTTTAGCACATCAATAGCTGCAGCACAAAAAAATAAGGTGAATGTAACTGTTAACGTTTTAATTTTGTGAGTCCACCAAAGAATGGATCTTATGCATCTTCCTTACATCTACCACCACCTGGATCTACTATGCATGGAACAAAATACTTATTCTTCTAAGACATATTTTTTGAATAAGTAGTGTCTGAGCATGTATTATAGGATTTTAGATGTATTTCTTCAGATGCCAACCATAAAGGCACTGGAATTGATTTTTTTTTTCTTCTTTTTTCCCTCAGGCATTTCCTGGAAATACAAACTCTGACAGCGTGGTCCGGCATGATTTACAACATCCAGTTATTGCTCGCTATGTGAGGATAGTTCCTTTGGACTGGAATGGGGAGGGCCAAATTGGGTTAAGAATTGAAGTCTACGGTTGCTCCTACTGTAAGTTTTTCCATGAAGATCCTTTTTTTCCCTCCCCTAAATAAAGACTCACTTGGAATTTTGGATTAAATCCAAATGTCAAAGACTTTAGTCTAGTTGTGTTGCCTAGGGCTTAATGAAATATTTGTTGGAACTTTAATTATGAGTTGCTAGTTTGTTCTTCTCTGGAAGATACAACATTGGAATTTGCAATTGTGCTTTGAAATTGCTCCTTTCCATCTTCATGATTTCTGTTGTAGAAGGCTTTGGCTATTGTATAAGCTTGATTGGGACATTTGAGGAAGAGATCGTGTTCAAACAAATGTCACGTTGGGTCTTGAAAGATAAAATGGAAACAGGGCATAATTTATTTCCTGGTGAGAGAGATAAAATCAAAGCAGTAAATTACAATTCTTTCTAAATATCTGGCACGTTTTTCTGTGGCGTATTTGAATGTGACTTCAGAATTTCTTCTGAAATCTGGGTGAGCAATGGTACCAGGGCTTCCATAGCTAAGAGCAGGACTGATAATGCTTTTGGAAATGATGCCCTTCCTTTAATTCCATCCAGCCAGTGCTTAAGTTGGCAAACCTGCAAAACTGAGTTTATGATATCCTATTTCTATGTACTTTTTAGGCAGTATCCTGGACTTTTTGGTATTTTAACTGGAAGATATTATTTGAGATTTGTCTTTCAATAATGAGACTTTAGAATAAAATGTGGAAGACTCATCACTGACTTCCTTGGGTGACATAAGACCTATTGGAGGCCTTTGCCATCCTGACTACCAAAACCAGCTGTGATTTCAACTGGTTTTTGTTTGATTAGATAGTCAACAGACTCCATATTTTCCTTCAACACCAATAGAACCATGAGGAATAGAGTTATGATATTATTTTTCTTATTTCCATGCAATGAATGTTTTAAAAATGTATATTGAATCACAGAGAATTTCCTAACAGCTGGAACTTAGTTGAGAAATCAATTCAAACTTGCTATAGTATTGATGCTGCTGTGGTGGGGGTGCACATGATTATAAGAGCAGGACCTGTTGCAATAAGACAAAGCATAATGTTTTTAAACTAATGGGGGGTCAATTTAGATTAGATATAAGGAAGTCATTTTTTACAATGAGAGTTCTAGAACTCTAAAAATTTACCCACAGAGGCAGTGGATGCTCCATCCCTGGAAACATTTAAACTCAGATTTACTGGGACTCTGACGAACCTGAAGTAGTTGAAGACGTCTCTGATTATTGCAGAGGGATTGAACTAGATGGTCTTTAAAGGTCCCCTCCCACACAAACTGTTCCACATTTCTATGATATCTGTTGCGTATGGACCTGTAGATTTCGCTAAAGTTACCTACAACTCAAAGAGATTTAGCTTCTGAAGTTTTGGGTACAACTCTGATTATTCAGTACATGGCTCTTAATAAACAAGTGTTTACCATCATACTGCTAACATGTTTTACGTGCTGTTTTAAGTACACCAAACACTACAGCATGGTTAATTTTCCATCATAATAAATACTTGCTTCTAAGTATACCTGATTGCTTGTACATCAAATGTAAATTCAGGCCTTTGATGCAAGAAACCAACATCTAGTTTGCTGTCAAATATAACTCTCTTTAACAGAATAAAATGTAGCAGAATCATATTTACTGCAATATTTACACATAAAAATGGTACATTTTGATGAAATGAATAGACAAAATGCTGTAGGTACGCAACAAGATACTTTTAGAGGCTTAAAGTAAATGTAAGAAAAAGTAAAACACAGCTTGCTGACAAATTTATTTTAGTTGTTTGATGGAAAGTTGCTTGCTTGCTGAACTTTTGGAGGGGAAAAAAATGCCCCTGCCAAGGACACAATGTATGGAACCGTAAAAATAATGGTAAAATGTGTCTTCAAAGAAGAACTAAGGTGGCCCAATATAATTTCATAATTTTACTGATAGAGTATTACTGTTCTGTTTGTATTAGAAATTATTACAGTAATCACTGAAGACTTTTTTATTGTAAGATTTAAAATAATATATTCTGGTTTTATGTTTAAAGGGACTTTTCTTTCAACATTTCTGCTATAATGCAGTGTGGTTTTTACATATAGGAATGGGGCTGCTCCCAAAATGGTGTCAGTAGAGAGCAGTACAGCAGCTGAGAAGAAAAAGTAAGAAAATAAATGCGTAAAGAGAGAGGAAAGCAGCCCTTTGGTATGAATACTCTAACCAGGGAGTACTGTTTACAAATTCTCAGCTTGTCTTCAAATGAATTATTTGGAGCCAGGTGTAAATGCTGCACCTTTCCATGTAGATGTGTCCTTTGGCAGAGGCCAAGTTTTTAACCTTATGATTAGAAGTGCATATATTTGCATATAAATATAAGCACTGCCATTAACCAGTGTTATTTGCAGATTAATCCTTCTTGTCACTTAAGGAACTAACCATTTAGATAATCACCAATTTTAAAAGCCTGATTAAACAACTGGCTTCTACTCAAATCTGCCCCAACTTTTGGAACTATTACCTTAATCAAAGGTTGTCCAATGCATCATAATTTTAATTTTCTTTTAGTTAACAAATTAATGTATTTTTCTTATTTAGATCTATTTAGATGCAAAATTCAGATTTTCCCACATTGCACACAAGGTTTAATTGGAAAGCCATGCACACTGACTGTTAAAACTCCTTCCTTGCACAATGCTGCAACCTGGTCATTAGCCTCAGACCTTTAGGAAAAATGCCTCCTCCTATTGAACTGCTTATTCAAATATCAGATCGCTAATTGCCATATTTCAGGTTCCTATTTTGTTTGTATATGTATATAAGATACACATTTAACTTTTTTGTACCAGGGTGAGATCCATGTCCTTCCTTGCCCAGCAAATCAAGTTTAAAAGAGGTATGTTTTCCAGAGAGTAATTACACTTCACATCTGTACCCTGAAGAAGTTAATAGCATTACCAAATCTTCTTCTTGTGGTGTTGATTTGCTTAAAGTCTGTTCTTTTAAATTTCATCTCTGTATTTTGTGTAGCTGAGGTCTGTAGGTTGTCTTCTATCAGAAAAGTTCACAGAAGTCACCAAAAAAGAATTAGGGGCTTACTCTACAAAAAGGTTCAGAATGAAATTTGGGTTTTATTTTTTTTTTCCTATAGACAAAAACGGACTATATATTATTAAAAAAAAAAAAAAGTATTAAAATTGGGTAAAGAACTTGCTTAATAGCTAAACTAATGAGGAAATTTCAAGCAAAATAAGCTTGAGAAATCACAGCCGATAGACTATTATATAACATAAAACCCACATTTTGGTCAATGAAACTTTTAGTTTTTATTTTAAAATTGTGAGTTTATTTTAAAATTGTGAGTTTCATAAGCCATAAAGTCTTTACACTTGAAGTAACATCATATATCTAAGAACAAGTCACAAAGAAGAAAGCAATATAACCAAAGTCAAAATATCCACTGAAATCAGTTAAATGAAAACTGATGACTGAGTTTTTTCATGCTCTTTTGAAGATAGAGAGCAATGGCACATGACATGCATCTTCCACCATGTTCACTTTCATGAATTTTTGAGACAGGCAGCGAAGACATGGCATCTGGAGGCCATGAAAACTACAATACAATACTTTTACTCCTGATTCATGAAGATCATAATAAGCTCCTGCAGGATCACTGCCATATGAATAGCTCCTTTAATCTCCATCCTGTGGCAGATGAATGCCTACAAAAAAAGGGCAATAAGAATATTATTGCATAGGTTTGGCTATGCCTTTCAAGGTAGCTCTAAGAGACCTTCTGGGTCATGAAATCCCATGAGAGGAAAGCACTCATGCTGCCTTTATTCATAGAGGAGTTTTTTATATGGCTGTGCTGATTTTCTGAATCTAAACAGTACATTTGTATCTTTTTAATGCAATTGCACATTTGATGGTAAAAATTTTTAAGGTTTCGATGACTCACTTCTGAATTGTAGGATATACTAGAAAAAAAAACAAACAACACCTGGAGATGGCAGAAAGCCATGCAAATATTCAATATACTCAGGGCAGGAACACTTATAAAGCTCCATAAATGGCTGCAAGCCAAGCTGTTTGCATTTACTGACCAGCTCTATTTGCTAACAGTTAGGAAGCAGTGTGACTGAACAAATGTCATATGACCTGTATTTGCAAATCTGTTCTTTTTCAGATATTAGCTCAACTACATGCACTGCTAGGTCAAATGTAACTGTTTCAGTTTTCTGATTGATGACTGTTTTGGGATTTTTTTAGAGAGGGAGGGAAAAGAAGGAAAAATAGTAACCACAGTCACAGTAACCACAGGTTATTCATAAAATAATGAATATTTTTATGGCGAGCATTTACTCTACAAATAGCAAAGTGAATGAAATTTTGGTCATGGAATCATGTTACAAGAATGAAAATGAAATTTGTAGGTGTTCCTAAGGGATGAGCCAAATGAATATTTGCAGGAACTGATTAGGAAATATTGAAGTGGTAAAACCTGTGGCTGAATAGATCTTTTGGTTGCTGTCGTTAATCTGGTTTGCCAGCTGTGACTTTGAGTTAAAACACTGTTTCCTTTGACAGTTCATTCTGCTATGCTTATACTTATTTATACTTACTTATACTTAGCATTCAGATGTACTTAGCTGCTAGAAAATCTACATTTTCAAATTCTGCTTAGCTTGGTTTCATGCTACAGGCATTAACTAACTATCCATGTCTCACTGTGCCCCATGGTTGCCATACACACTTAAAAGAGAAACTTCCATATTGTCCAGAATAATCTGTTGCATCCAAATACCAAAATGTCTGTTTAAGGCAGATGAGAAAGCTGCTTTATTTCCCTTTTGTTGAATCTTATCAATTTTCACATGTCCAGATTCAAAGGTACACCCTGGACATTGTGTTTTACCAGAATATAGCATAAAAAAGGTCCCTTAAAGTGTCAACAGGGTATTTCTATTGAAATACCCTGTTGTATATTATTATAAAATAAATTATAATGTCC